CGGCCTCTCAGCTAAGCACAATGCCCGGCCTCCCAGCTAAGCACAATGTCCGGCCTCCCAGCTGAGTACAATGCCCGGCCTCCCAGCTAAGCACAATGCCCGGCCTCCCAGCTAAGCACAATGCTCGGCCTCCCAGCTAAGCATAATGCCCGGCCTCTCAGCTAAGCACAATGCCCGTCCTCCCAGCTAAGCACAATGCCCGGCCTCCCAGCTGGGTACAATGCCCGGCCTCTCAGCTAAGCACAATGCCCGGCCTCCCAGCTAAGCACAATGCCCGGCCTCCCAGCTGGGTACAATGCCCGGCCTCCCAGCTGGATACAATGCCCGGTCTCCCAGCTGGGTACAATGCCCGGCCTCTCAGCTAAGCACAATGCCTGGCCTCCCAGCTGGGTACAATGCCCGGCCTCTCAGCTAAGCACAATGCCCGGCCTCCCAGCTAAGCACAATGCCCGGCCTCCCAGCTAAGCACAATGCCCGGCCTCCCTGCTGGGTACAATGCCCGGCCTCCCAGCTGGGTACAATGCCCGGCCTCCCAGCTGGGTACAATGCCCGGCTTCTCAGCTAAGGACAATGCCCGGCCTCCCAGCTGGGTACAATGCCCGGGCTCCCGGCTAAGCACAATGCCCGGCCTCCCAGCTAAGCACAATGCCCGGCCTCCCAGCTAAGCACAATGCCCGGCCTCTCAGCTAAGCACAATGCCAGGCCTCCCAGCTAAGCACAATGCCCGGCCTCCCAGCTAAGCACAATGCCCGGCCTCCCAGCTGGGTACAATGCCCGGCCTCCCAGCTGGGTACAATGCCTGGCCTCCCAGCTGGGTACAATGCCCGGCCTCTCAGTTAAGCACAATGCCCGGCCTCCCAGCTAAGCACAATGCCCGGCCTCTCAGCTAAGCACAATGCCCGGCCTCTCAGCTAAGCACAATGCCCGGCTTCCCAGCTGGGTACGATGCCCGGCCTCCCAGCTAAGCACAATGCCCGGCCTCCCAGCTAAGCACAATGCCCGGCCTCCCAGCTAAGCACAATGCCCGGCCTCTCAGCTGGGTACAATGTCCGGCCTCTCAGTTGGGTACAATGCCCGGCCTCTCAGCTAAGCACAATGCCCGGCCTCCCAGCTAAGCACAATGCCCGGCCTCTCATCTAAGCACAATGCCCGGCCTCCCAGCTGGGTACAATGCCCGGCCTCCCAGCTGGGTACAATGCCCGGCCTCCCAGCTGGGTACAATGCCCGGCCTCCCAGCTGGGTACAATGCCTGGCCTCTCAGCTAAGCACAATGCCCGGCCTCCGAGCTGGGTACAATGCCCGGCCTCTCAGCTAAGCACAATGCCCGGCCTCCCAGCTAAGCACAATGCCCGGCCTCCCAGCTGGGTACAATGCCCGGCCTCTCAGCTAAGCACAATGCCCGGCCTCCCAGCTAAGCACAATGCCCGGCCTCCCAGCTGGGTACAATGCCCGGCCTCCCAGCTGGGTACAATGCCCGGCCTCCCAGCTGGGTACAATGCCCGGCCTCTCAGCTAAGCACAATGCCCGGCCTCCCAGCTTAGTACAATGCCCGGCCTCCCAGCTGGGTACAATGCCCGGCCTCCCAGCTGGGTACAATGCCCGGCCTCTCAGCTAAGCACAATGCCCGGCCTCCCAGCTAAGCACAATGCCCGGCCTCCCAGCTGGGTACAATGCCCGGCCTCTCAGCTAAGCACAATGCCCAGCCTCCCAGCTGGGTACAATGCCCGGCCTCTCAGCTAAGCACAATGCCCGGCCTCTCAGCTAAGCACAATGCCCGGCCTCTCAGCTAAGCACAATGCCCGGCCTCTCAGCTAAGCACAATGCCCGGCCTCCCAGCTAAGCACAATGCCCGGCCTCCCAGCTGGGTACAATGCCCGGCCTCCCAGCTGGGTACAATGCCCGGCCTCTCAGCTAAGCACAATGCCCGGCCTCCCAGCTAAGCACAATGCCCGGTCTCCCAGCTAAGCACAATGCCCGGCCTCCCAGCTAAGCACAATGCCCGGCCTCCCAGCTGGGTACAATGCCCGGTCTCTCAGCTAAGCTGAGAGGCCGGGCATTGTACTCCTTCTCCATCTCACTTAAATATCAATTGAATCAAGCATTTATAAGTAGAGCTTAGCAAAAATAGTAGATAGTGCTTAATAAGAATAGTATTTAAACTTAGTAAATAAAAGTTGTACGAGCCGCCCCGGTGGCTGGCGCCGGGCTAAAGAATTCGTGTATATTGATTATGTGAGTGGGAAGACCCAGGCCGGCGCCGCCAGTCACACCTTGGTCGGCTGTGGAACCACTCTACGAGTGGAACCACTCAGGTGGGTACCATGGAACCACTCTACAAGTGGAACCACTCGGGTGGGTACCATGGAACCACTCTACAAGTGGAACCACTCGGGTGGGTACCATGGAACCACGCTACAAGTGGAACCACTCTACAGGTGGAACCACTCGGGTGGGTACCATGGAACCACTCTACAAGTGGAACCACTCGGGTGGGTACCATGGAACCACTCTACAAGTGGAACCACTCAGGTGGGTACCATGGAACCACTCTACAAGTGGAACCACTCGGGTGTGGTACCATGGAACCACTCGGGTGTGGTACCATGGAACCACTCGGGTGTGGTACTATGGAACCACTCTACAAGTGGAACCACTCGGGTGTAGTACCATGGAACCACTCGAATGTGGTACCATGGAGCCACTCTACAAGTGGAACCACTCGGGTGTGGTACCATGGAACCACTCTACAAGTGGAACCACTCGGGTGTGGTACCATGGAACCACTCTACAAGTGGAACCACTCGGGTGTGGTACCATGGAACCACTCGGGTGTGGTACCATGGAACCACTCGGGTGTGGTACCATGGAACCACTCTACAAGCTCTTCACGTTGTTACCTCCTCAACACTTTAGTTTTTCTCCTGGTAGACTAGTAAGTTCCGTCAGTGCTAACTTGGCCCCAGTGACGTGGCGGTGACAGCCGCCGTCAACACTGGTGGGGCTGCGCAGGACACATATATTAACTGTTGACCAGACCACACACTAGAAATTGAAGGGACGACGACGTTTCGGTCCGTCCTGGACCATTCTCAAGTCGATTGTGTCATTCTCACAATCGACTTGAGAATGGTCCAGGACGGACCGAAACGTCGTCGTCCCTTCACCTTCTAGTGTGTGGTCTGCTCAACATACTTCAGCCACGTTATTGTGACTCATCGCCTGCGTATATTAACTGTGTTTTTCATTACTGTAAGGTATATTATGATACCTAGTTGTGCTTGCGGGGGTTGAGCTCTGGCTCTTTGGGCCCGCCTCTCAACCGTCAATTAACTATTTATATTTTATTTTTTTTCCACACACTTAAATTCTTTCTTACTACGCTCTGCCACGAGCATAGCTCTCATCCTCTAACTACACTTACGTAATTACACTTAGGTAATTACACCAAGGAAGCAGTCCGTAGCAGTTGTCTAATTCCCAGGTACCTATTTACTACTAGGTGAACAGGGGGCATCAGAGTAAGAAAAAAACTCTGCCCATTTGTTTCTGCCTGTGCCGGGGATCGAACCTGGATCCTTAGGACTACGAATTCCGAGCGCTGTCTACTCAGCCGGCAGAAGCAGAGAGAGAGAGAGACATGATCTCCGAGAGACCAGCATGAAGGCAATATATCCTAAGGATTGTTGTTGTTGTTTTAGATCCAGCTACTTAGAATAAAAGTTCCAAAGTAGCACGGGCTATGGTGAGCCCGTAGTGGACTTACCTGGCACAGGAGCGGGGCTGTAACCGACCTATGGATTGGTAAGATGTTATATATACACATATATATATATATATACATATATATATATATACATATATATATATATATATATATATATATATATATATATATATATATATATATATATATATATATATATATATATATATATATATATATATATATACATATATATATATATATACATATATATATATATATATATATATATATATTTATATATATATATATATATATATATATATGTCGTACCTAGTAGCCAGAACTCACTTCTCAGCCTACTATTCAAGGCCCGATTTGCCTAATAAGCCAAGTTTTCCTGAATTAATATATTTACTATAATTTGTTTCTTATGAAATGATAAAGCAACCCTTTTCTCTATGTATGAGGTCAATTTTTTTATTGGAGTTAAAATTAACGTAGATATATGACCGAACCTAACCAACCCTACCTAACCTAACCTAACCTATATTTATAGGTAATGTTAGGTTAGGTAGCCAAAAAAAGCTAGGTTAGGTTAGGTTAGGTAGGTTAGGTAGACGAAAAAACATTAATTCATGAAAACTTGGCTTATTGGGCAAATCGGGCCTTGAATAGTAGGCTGAGAAGTGCGTTCTGGCTATTAGGTACGACATATATATATATATATATATATATATATATATATATATATATATATATATATATATATATATATATGCAGCTCAGAGGTAAGATAAAATAATCCGTCCTGATAATTGTAGCTCCATGGAACATATCACTTCAAAATAATATAATTTGCTGCGACATTGTATGTTTGCTTTTTGTTGACCAGGCTTTGTCGTATGTACGGACATTTCTTGCTTTACTTCGTCTGAATTTTTTCGTCAAATTGTAATTATGTTCCATACACATATTACTTACGATGTTAATCCGTTTAATTGTGTAATTTAAGTAAATTATACATTTCTTCATCATGGTCAGAGCTGTCATTATCGTATTTACAGATGACCGAGAAAAATAATATTTTTAAATACATTTCCTTATGAATTATTGTAATCAATCATCTGAGTAATGTTTTCATTAATCGTCTTTGAACAGTTGTTAACGTTTTGACTCAAAAATGTGAACGGAAATAGCTTGCATTGAGACACATTCACAATAGATCTTACACAAGCCTAAGACTTATATTTATGCCTGAATTTTTAGTCCGGGACCTTTCTTTGTTATTGTACAGACGAGCGGAACACGGCGAGAACGTATTGATGAGTGGGGGTGAGGACCCACGTGGCCCAGGGAAATACCGCCAATCCCGAAAGGCTAAGAAGTCTCCGGAGAAGCTTGAAGACCCCTGGGTGCCCCAGAGAACCCAGGAGAGTGACCCTGTCCCAACCCAACCCACTCATAGCCTTCATCCCCGTCCCCAAGGACCCTCTCGCTCCCTGTCTCCTCGGCCTACTCAGACCTCTTACCCATCCAGCCCTCGCCCTCAAGGGCCTTCGCGCTCCCTCTCACCACAGCATCGCTCGAAGACACCGACAGGGAGCGTATTCTTCAAGACGATCCAAGCATCGAGAAACAGACAGAAGCTTCTGAAGGAAACAACCACGCCCACCTCGTCCTCCTCCTCCAGTACCCCAAGCAAGACTGACCTGGGCGATATTGTGCTGTATTTACAAGGTGCTGTTGATGCCGAGGAGAGCAGCTTAGACCCACAGGCAACCGTAGCACACTGGCGGCAGAAGCAGAAGCAGCAACAGCAGTTTCAGAAACGACAGCTGCAATTTCAACAGCAGCAGCAGAGCTTACTACAACATCAGCAACAATTACAACAGCAGCAGCAGATACTATCTCAGCAGCAAAGAAAGCAATGTGAGAGCTTACAAAGACAACAGAGAATACAGTATGAGGATCTACTGAAGCAACAAAAAAGGTTTGTTCAAATACAGAAAAACCAAGTACACTATCGTCAGCTAATTTATCAGCAGCAACAGGTGCAACAACAGTTGTTGGAGCAACATAACATACAACGACAACAACTACAATACCATCAGGTACAGCAGCAGCACCCTATACAACAACAACTGTATCAAATCCAACAACAATTTATTCAATTGCAACAGCAGCAGCATCAACTACAGCAGGAACAACATCAGTTCAATCAACAATTAAAAGAGCAGAAACAGTTAGAAGCTGAACGAAAGCAGAAAAAACTCGAACAAGAACAGCAGGAAAAACAACGAGTCAAAAAGGTACCCGAACGTTCAGAGGAAGACAGCGACAAAGAATCCTTTAATAACATCAATAAACTCCTTCAGAATGTTTTAAGTCCCACAGAAGAAGAAATACAAGAGAGCGAGGAGGGAGGGGCTGAAGCATTAGCTAGCGAGTCATCTGTTGCTCAGCAAGACGCCAGCGTCGAGGGTCCAGGGGAGGAGATAGTTGCAGACGTCCAACACGAGGTCAAGAGAGTTGAAGAGTGTGTCGACAGAGTTCGATCTTTCAGTTTCAGTAGTGTTGCCACAGAAGACCATAGAGTCAAACAGTTCTATCCACAACCACGTCGAAAATCTTTAGGGCTCAGCAAAGGGCCATCTGGGGTAAATGTGGGACCATCACTGCTCCACCATGGTCCTGCAGGGCAACAGAAAGGCCCTGGAAACCTAAATAAGGGCCCAGCCTGGCTACATAAAGGCCCGAGCCATGTAAATAAAGGTCCTAGCGAGCTAACGAAGGGCCCCAGTTGCCTTAGCAGAGGTCCTGCAGAGATAAACCTTGGTCCCTCAGACAGACGGACCGGTCCTTCGGGGATTAACAAAGGTCCCAGTAACCTGAACAGAGGCCCAGTAACAGAACACTTGAGTCACGCTACTAGTTACAAGGGTCTTTCCTCGTTAGCTAAGGGCCCAACCAGCAAAATCCTAGGTCCTGCAAGCTCGAGGCTGGCCCTAGAGCAGACTCACTGAGCACATTTCGCAACTTTCACAATATTCACTTCGGAGTCGCACATAAGAATACATATTGACGTACTCCAGGTATTCTGACCACTTGCTATCACAAACAAACTACAGCTGTTCTACTGTTCTTCCGTGACTCGTATTTATTCCTCGTACGTAAACTGTTGTACATGAACTGTAGAGAACACTGTACCGCACACTGTCAATCCATGTCCATTTAACGCACTTAACTCGTATTTTTCGACGTGTCTTAAACTGTGCATTATATTTAGTCAAACGTTTCACGCAGATGTATATGATAATGCTTACGACGATGGAGTGCAAGGTACAAGTGGAGTTACGAAGATAAGGATTTTTGAGTCATCAAAGAAGTTCTACTATCAACTAGTGACTGCTGAAGTCAGTGAGTCAGTGAGATGAGTAGCATACCTCACCGTAGGTTCTTTAGCACTACTGGGAAGTCACAAGAAGATTGTATACAAGGAGTTTAATCAAGATGATGTGATGGAGAGGGTCTCAAGGCACTAAGGCTACAGGGCTCGTCCGGAACCACGGAGTGAACATCTTGCACGTCTAGTTACTAAAAACACAAGACTGAATTTAATTTTAGTCAAATAATGTGACCAAAATATATCTTAATACTTAATAATAACATCGAAGTGTTTGAGTCAAGAGTTGACAGCGCTTCCGGCCTGAAACTTATCTTCCTCCAGTTGCAGCGCGAGAGCCCGAAACCTCGTCTCGCACCATGTGGTAAGTCTCAGGCTTCACTCCAGTATATTTATGCACTCTAAAATAATTCATGTTTTTGAACATACACAACCTTCAACTAGTAGTAATATTAATTCACACAGCAAATAATGATAAATATTTTAATATAATAAAAAATATTATAAAATCCTATTTCAACCAGATTTTTACACAAACCGGCGCAGGCGATGGTAGATTTTGGCTTTACACAAACCCCAAAATACTGTATTCACTTTCCGTTTATACGATAATTTAATATTAATCAAAGTCTATGTCCAGACATATGTTCACAATTCGACCAATCCAAGTTGACTGGATTAGAAAGCTTTGATTGTTTATTAAGATTTACTCAGCACAAACTTTTAAAAATACGTAATTTTCAGAACCCTTCAGCAGTATAGGAAACGTATATGTTTATCTCTCAGAATGTTCGGCAATATGTTTATTGTTTGTGATGTGAGTCTATATATGTATGAACACGTTGTACTGTACGGGGTGAAAATAGCTTGAGCTACCTCATCCCTTTGTGTGTATTTTACCTCAATAAACTTATTTCAATTTCAGCAGTACTTTAGCTAACACGGAGCGAATTTAGAGCAGTTTTTGAACAATTCTAAGTGATTAGGCTAACTAAGAAAGTGTTCCGGTAATGAGTAGGTGTTGTTCCAGGTGGAGTAGCTTGGGGATCCGTCGGTGGATGGCCGGGATGTGGTGAGGCCTGGGTATGTTCTGCTTGGCCAGCCTTGCTATCAAGGGGCACCTTCAGCCACCTTCTCCCGGAGCACGACGCCTTCAGGTAAGGACCACCTCCTCACCAGACACTGTAGCAACTCTTGGCATTGGCAGGACAATTATGCCAACGTTGTCATGTTGCAGTGAGAGTTTGGTCTCTCTGAAGGAACGACGACGTTCCTTCACGCTTCGCAAGCGCTTTGGCCTGGGTTCGTATTCTGGATTGACTGGGCGCCAATCCTTAACTGTAGCCTCTGTTCACCCAGCAGTGAATGGGTACCTGGTTGTTAAACAATTTGGCGGGTCATATTCCGGGTAAAATAATTTGGATTAAGGACTTACCCAAAACGCTATACGTGCTAGTGGCTGAATGTAAGAACTCTTGTATATATTTAAATAAATAAATAAAAAGTATATATCTTGCCATATAGACCCGTCTTATCAAACCCATTTGCATTTCTGACCGCCATTTGCACCAACAGGAATGTTAAACAGAAGCTTGAGTCGTTAGCCACTTTTTGGTAAACTATACTACAAGCCTTTCATGCAAACTGAAATTCACATTGACGCTGGTAAGGTTTCCCCAGTTATCATTATAAGTTCTACTGGACAGGGCACAGCAGAGAACTCTATAGCTACCTGGAGGCGTTGCTACACTTATGCGGCCACACCCAGTGAGTGGCCATGGCTCAGTCACACCAAGTGCTTGCCCCGTTGGCCAGGAGACGTAATCTGATCTCTGTAAGTTGGACTGGTACAACTTGATTCTGTTCTGTACGTCTACTCTTCACACATACTAAGAACAAGAATGTGTTCTAAAATGTTCTAATTTTCGTCACATCCTGTTTTTAAATAGCTGGTAAGAGTCGGAAATCTATAGAGGCTCAAGACTGTTATAATTAATATTGTGACGTTTAATTTAAACGTTCTGTAAATGAACTGGCTTTTATCACTAAAGAAGTAACTTCCGACGCTGGTGTGTCATCCTAGACGATCTAGTTGACGTTGTGTGTGTCTCCTGCAGGCGGCGCCGGTGCCCGCCCCTCTCGCCGTGGAGGTGAACGGGTACGTGGCGTAGCGGCCGCTCCTTCTGCCCCACTGCCTGTCCCTGCACCAGGAGGGTCGTCGGACTACACCACACGTACGTACATGTTCCCAGACACTTAATTAACAGCTCATTAACGTGTGTCATTAACGACACACCTCCAATATGCCCAGTACCTCACCCATGTCACCTCCATCACGCTTATTGGAGGCTTATTACCTTACATACGACAATTCTAAGACCATGTTTAAGACGTTCCCACTAACTCCTTCACTTAGACTACCCTCCCTGCAGCCGTTGTGGTGAGTGATAACTTTCCCTACAGCTAGTTTTAGCTGCTCTCTGTGCGACATATCCAGACAGCTGTTCCAGTCATTGGTTTTACTTCCTGTCGTTGCCAGTCACTGGACAACCTTCCTGTCCGTACGTCAGTGACTGGGCAACACTCCTGTCAGTACCACAGCCACTAAGCACCTGTTCACTTGCAGGTGTATGGGTATCGCAGATGGGGCATCTGTCCTACACCCAGGAGCACTACGGGGACTCGACCTGCTCAGAGCAGGGCACGCTCAGGGGGCTACGGCAGCTGGTCGTCTCCGGGTCACCCGGGCAGATGGGCACACCTCCTCGCCCTCAACTACACAATTATACAAGTTAATGTGAGTCTTATGAGCTTTACAAAAGTGTTTATTTTTTAATTATATATTGTAATTAAATAATTTTATTTTGGCATACAAATTTAATGCCTCCTGTCTCTAATAGGTAAGACTTTAATGTTCTTCTGGAGACATTGTAGCTCCTGGTGGTATTTTGGAGGCTGGGGGTTTAGAAGAGAGTAAGTGGAGGTCCTGGGTTCGACTCCCACGGCAGGACAGTCGGATGGGCATGCTTCCTTTCACCTATAAGTGAACAGGTACTCTGGAATTACACAGTTACAGCGTTGCCCCTGTGCCAGATAAGTCCACTACGGGCTCACCATAGCCCGTGCTAATTGGAAGTTTTGGTTTAGAGTAGCTGAATCTAAAACAACAACAACCTGGAATTAGGCAGCTACTGTAGATTGCATCCTGGAAAGAGTCGGTATTTGGTCTAGAGGAATCTTCAATAAGCTGAAACTGCCGAAGGAATTGATCCATACGAGGCAGCTTTCTACTTAGGAGAAGAGTTAAAGAGTGGGTACTGAGGGTGTACATAAAGGTAAGAGCATCTCTGTGATGGTCCAGGAGGGACCAAAACGACGTAGTTTCTTAATTTTCTGACGTGGTTTGATCATATCTTCAGTCACGTTTTTGTGCCTTGTCGTCTGCATTTACAGCATATGTTCTCCATGCATGAAAATACATGAGGACAGTTTTTCCAGCTATTCCCCAGAACTATGGAGTGGGTACTTGCTTAGTAATCATACCCTCCTCGATAACTCTGATATAGGTAACAATTTAAAACATTAAAATTGCTTAACTTTAATCATATACTCATAATTTTCTTTCATTTGACACAGGGTGCAAGGCAAGTTAGGTGGATTGGGCAGTGGCGGACGATCCATTAGTGTCAGCTGGACGGTACAGAGTTTGGACCTGATATTTGTCGGGAGTTGATATTGCCTGTGATGGGTGGTGACGCCATGGTACTTGACAGCGTGACGTGCACCCAGACTCCCGGGGCTGTGCCCTGCGTGCTCCAGCGTGCATGGTGGCATGCGTGCTCCAGCTCCCCGACACCGGCTGGTAGTGACTCCCGCGCCCATCACTACACACGAACGCCAGCTGCATCCTCTTACACATCTTGCACGTGGACAACATCCAACTAGAGATAATATTAGACATAAAGATGATAACTGAATTCAGTCAATGAACACAGGATGCTGTTGTAAGAACTGACAAGAAATCTGGGCAACAAAGGAATTTTGCCACAAATCCAGATGTGCAGGAATCCAACCAACTTAGGACTAAGTTGTCACGGGCCAACCTGACGACTTTAAAAGATGGAAGAATTGATCAAAAGAATAACATGAAATCCATCTTGGCAAGAGATTTTGAGGTGAACATGAACGGAATGATAACATGAATGTAGTCCATTTGCTACATGCAGATTGGAATTACTGTTGAAAAGGTCAATTATTATATCGAACTACATTCACATATATTATAACAGATAATGGTACACAACCACCCCATCATGCTCTTGACTGCATGTCTATTGCCAGCTTCAATGTCTATATCAAAGTGAACACTATTTGATATTACTTGTTAATTATGAAAACAAGAATTATTTTTTTCAAATAAATCAAATCAAACGTCGTGTGATTTTTATAATACTCTTATCTATTAAGTAGTAAGGTGCATTACACCATAAAAATAACAATTGTGCACTTTGTGATGAAAGCACCAACTTGTATACTTTGTCATGTCATTGAAGTATAATGACAAAGGCTTGGATCCAAAATGACCCCCCCCCCCATCACATTTCTCCAGTCAGAATCCTTCCTATTTAAGACCTTTGCTTTCTTTAAATCAATGTTTTATGCATTCTAGTAAGCTGCCATTTATTCCATGTGCCTGTCATTTCTTTGCCATTCTTTCACGCGGTTTTCTTTTCCTTTTAACTTTTTTTTTTGTAGTAACTGTTTACTATATTCACTGGAAGTCCCTTGAGTAGCCAGTGAACACTGCTTTATTCAGTGTTTGTTGCTCTTTCATCGTACATAACTTTTAGTCTCATCTTTTAAGGGTCCTACAGTCTTGTTTTGGTTTTACTTCTTATGAAGGCATAGAATTTAGGAGCTCAAAAGGCACTTGTCGGTACTTTTGTTCGTCACATTAATGGTATGTTTGTAACACGTTACAAATTTGAAATAATAAAATACAATAGTTCACATAGCTGTAGGATACTGCGTGTTGTGTCTCGTTTTGAAATCTTGCGGGTGGCCGCCTCCAGCTGACTCTAGAATCCTTTGATCAAAGTCTATTGGACCTAGCTTTAAAAAAAAAAAAAAAAAATTGAAAATGATGCAAAAATATTAGTTTCCAATGTCAAAGGAGGCCTGGTCGGGCCGCGAGGACGCCAAGCCCCGAAACCATCTCAAGGAAACCTCAACACTGACATTCTTAGGTGAATGATTACAATTGTTAATGTATAACCCTGGATATTTGTACACATTTGTGGTCTGAAGTTATATTATAGTATATCTGCAAACTGGCAAGTGAACCCTCGTTCTAAACAATACTTTCAAAGTATAACTGTACTGTACATCATTGGTTTAAAGTACTATAGTGTTCAAGTTCCTTTTAAATTTCCCTTCAATGGTACTCAATTTTAGTTTAAAATTTCATTTCCAGAAATTTTTAAAGTATACTCAAGTCTCCTAATTTCATTTCACTTTTGAAAACACATCAAGGTATCCAAACCAAATTTAACATTTCCCTAACAATGGATAGTGGTTTTAAAATGATTACCTCCTCCACGAGAACAAGTTGCTCAAGACTGTTTGAATAAATCATCCCACTTATACAAGTTTTCCTAATTTGCATCAGCTTCTAAAGAAAACTTCCTTAAAACCAAATTGACTTGCGTAATCCAATGAAAGATCCTCCTAACTTAATATTGGTATTAATATATTATGTAATGTTAATAACAAAGCCACCCAATTTCTATGGAAGATTGTCTACTGTAGACAATGTCAAATTCTAATTAAGGAGGAATTTATCGACATCTATATATATTTACATGTTAAAACCCTGAAATGGTCGATTAAACAATACAATTAGGACAGTAAGGGGCAGGTTTCCATTTCATTCTTATCTTTCATAATGCTCATTACATAATCCTTTGAATCTTGCTTAGATCCAGCCATATAGTTTCTAGAACCAACACACCCTACATGTGCCTTATAGTAATTATTCAATTAACCATTAAATAAATATTTTTAAACATCCCACACATGCCAATGTTTTAAATTTAAATTAATACATCTCATCGGGCTGTCATTTCTAGCTATTAGCACATCAAGCCAAAAACCATTGCAAGCTTGGTGTTTCAATGTGATTATTCTTAACCTCAAGCTACAAAATCCCATCCTGAAATTTCCATTACCTAATCAACCCAGTATTCAAAATAATTTACTTAGAAGTAGTTTGAAATATTGACATGCATGACAGACCAATATTAAATACTGCTCATGTCAGTGTCTTACATTATTGATACAAACAAAAAAAAAACAAAAAAGACCACATTGATATAAAATTATATATTAAATAGTATCTACACAAATCACTTAGTAAACCATATAAATTGTTAAACACCGTTCTAGATCAAAACAAACACATTTTACCATGTACTAATTAATGCCTTTTAACAAACAATGTTCACATGCCACCAAACAACTTTTACTACAAAGTCATATGGCTTTTTTTGGAGAGAAAAATAACACTAATAATAAGTTTTTTATTGAAAATGTAAACCATACAGTGCTGTGTGATTTATATATATGTTGGAATGCATCCAACTTTACTAACCAATTAAACTTGGATTCTATTCACTTTTTCTGCAATTTCAATACTAATACCTTATTGATGATAATTGATAAGACTGATTAGTCATCATTATACATCAATCTAACATCCAACAAGTACAAAACTGAAAAATTGTAACAGCTCATACAGCTGTCTAATTCACTCATCATTCACATCATCTGCCTTCACCTTAGGGCTGCCATTTTGAACTGGAGTTCGTGATCGGCTTCGGTCCCTGGAAAACAAAAAATGTATAAATACAAGGTTCATTACAAAAGTATAAAAATTACATTTTCAATCATTTCAAAATAAAAGATGTAAATGAAAATGATCAAAACTAATATTTCCAATAAGACATGTACAAAACTATTTATTAAACTTTAACATTCAATCCAAGTCTTAAGTAAATCTAACATCATGGCTACTAAGATTTCTAATCTAATTAACCCTCTTGTTGTAGCACTTCAATATTTGGCCCTAGGGTTTAAATGAAGGCGATGAGTCAATAACGTGGCTGAAGTATGCTGACCAGACCACACACTAGAAGGTGAAGGGACGATGACGTTTTGGTCCGTCCTGGACCATACTCAGTCGATTGAGAATGGTCCAGGATGGACCGAAACGTCGTCTAAATGGTTAAATGTTTAAATAGAAAAACAACTTTATTCATATTTTTGCTGTTTAAATATTTTTAAACAGCAATATAAATATATTCATTAAAATATATTCATATTTTTGCTCATATTCATATGCTGTTTAATCATTATGACACTGTTCAACTTACCCCTTGTCATCTCTTGAGCGAGACCGATCCCTTTCCCTTGATGGTGATCTGGACCTTTCACGTGTACGACTGCGACTGCGATCCCTGGTACGTGAGCGAGACCTGGACCTCTCCCTAGATCTGCTTCGGTCACGTGAGTGGGAGCGATCCCTAGTCCTACTTCTTGAGCGAGATCTGGACCTTGTGTATGATCTTCTCCTACGAGGTGAGCGACTTCGACTTCGGGACCTTGAGTACCTGACACGCAGGAAGTACTTTAGACCGTGAAAGCAATTAATTAGTAAATGTGCAAATCTGTTATCTGAGCCTCCAGGGTGCCTGTGTTGGACTGCTAACATCCATACACACTGATTATTTTACATTCTGCCATGCACAGAACTACGGCTTGGATGTTGGAAACCGCTTCAGTTCAACCAGGCGTGCTGAAGAGTATAGGCATGATAAGCACTGCAAGATCATTTTGATCATCCCAGATTATGGTCAACCTTACAAAAATGCCACAACTACTTTACCAAAGGGATTAAAATATACGTGAATTTTGTCTGGACTATGATTAAGCAGACTTATTGGGAAATATTAAAAATTTTGCAATAGTGGCAATGTAAAATGGTGGACCATAAATCAGATTTGCACAGGAACACCTTTAAAGATGGATCTTATTTACTTACATGAACTGCCTCTGGCTGAAAACGCTTGATAAAACAATGTAAGGGGACTAAACTGAATAGTGAACACTACCTAAAATAAAGTAACAACCATTAATTAAATTTTACACCAGTAAGCTTACTGTGCCTGTCAAGAGTCATGAATCTCGGAAGAGAGGTTGTCTGAAGGTCTGACGTTCGATCACGTAGGTAGGGTCATGTAACTGCGTTGTTTAACCAGCGCTGAACGCTCATGTAACTGCGATGTTCGAGTAGAGCACGAGAGAAGTCTACGGTGACTGACTGGCAGGCAGTAAGCTTTACAAATGAGGCCATGAAGTTCAAGGTGTGGCCAGAAGGTCAAATTCAAGTTGTAGTGCGACGATCAATCGACAGAGCGCCGATCTTTGACTACTCGAGGTTTGGGAATGGGGATCTCAGCCGTTTTGCCTACAAAATATGAGTGTTCTGTCAATAGCAGTTCCACCAGTTGATAATCCCTTAGCTTTATTTGATATGTTTAAGTAGACCACACAAGACAAGTCCACATGACAGGGCTAATGCACTGATTAAGCATCAAAAACAAATAAATCTAATAAAAAGAAAAATATGAAAGCAGGTTCAGTTTAGTCATGACCTATATGAACCAGGTGAACTTGATCTGATATTGGCCTCCAATGAGAATAGTGCTTATTGACCAAAGCTCAGGAATTGAGGATTCGTGCAATAACCACCAGATGCAGAGCCACGCATTCCCATTCCCCCCAAACACACAAAACATACCTTGATCCATGACGTCGGCTGTACCTATAGCAATCTCTAGCATAGTGGCCACGCTCTCCACACTCATAACAACGGTCCTCAGGGTGGAAAGGCCTGCCTCGACGAGGAGGGGGGCCACGAAATCTGCTTCGGGATTTACCAGTTGATAGCTCTACACGCACACGGCGACCACATATTGTCCTGTAATTAGATATTTAGCAGTAGAAAAAGTTAACTTTTACAATAAATTCTAATGAACTACATACTATAATGCTGAAGTACACAGACGCCATCTTGAACAATTGTCTGCATCCTTCCTGGCCGAGAGCCTCAGTACTGCATGCAGTACAGCTGTGCACATCAGAGGCCCTAGTGCCACTAATGATGAATAAAATAACCAATTACTTTGCTTTGATAGTAATATGACTGTATTTGTGTGTGCACATGTATATGTATATACCTGTACATATTCATATACATACACCCACACACATCTCTTACCATGATCGGAACAAACTAACATTTAAAATTAAGAAAATTTCAAGATTTTTTTTTTGTATACAGTACTTGTCACATTCAACCCCCACTTGTTTGTATACAGTACTTGTCACATAGATATGGTCAAACCCCCACCTATGCACAAAATAAAAAATCCAGCAAACTATTTTTAATTTTAGAAATATTAAATTTTATGCAAAAAGTAAGAAAACTTGAAAATAAGTGACCATTTATAGTTTCACCGGGCAGAGGTTGAGCATCAGATGTCACTAGAGGGTTACACCAGATGCTCAACCACGCTGATGCCTTGTTTGATCTTCCGATTTCACCGATAGCTATATCAGTGAAAATTTATATTTACAACCACAGTTTTTATACCCCACCATATATTTATAATGGTGCATATATACCCATATTTGCATCATACATGTAAAACCTGCCGGTGACTTCATTACCACCTTGATATGGATATTTGAAATGATTTCGGAGCTTAGTGTCCCCCGTTGTCGACCAGGCAACACCCACAATATCTCATGAATTCACGCATGACAATAGCCACTCAGGGTTAATAGCATATTATGAGGACAGCCGCAAGCAGGGTGGCCGAGCGGACAGAACGCTGTACGTGTGATCCTGTGGTCCCGGGTTCGATCACGGGCGCCGGCAAGAAACGATGGGCAGTTACTTTCACCTTGATGCCCTGTTACCTAGCAGTAAATAGGTACCTGGGAGTTAGTCAGCTGCTACGGGCTGCTTCCTGGGGGGAGGAGGCCTGGTCGAGGACCGGGCCGCGGGGACACTAAAGCCCCGAAAGCATCTCGGGAAACAAATAAAAACCATAAGCTTACCTGCCATCCAGTCCTCTAACTGCATCTTCAGCATCACGAACATCTTCAAATTCTACAAAAGCAAAGCCCGGAGGGTTACGGGCCACCCAGACATTTCTCAATGGGCCATAGTATGAGAAAGCTTCCTCGAGCTCTTGTTTCGATGCTCCCGAGCCCAAGTCTCCAACATACACCTTGCAATCAAGTGATGCTGGCATTTTTACAATTATTCACCCTGTTGAAAAATAAGCAATTAACCAATTAAATAAGCAACAATTAAAGAAATGCAACAAACTGGAAAATGACAAATGAATTACGTTAAAATATTAGCATCACAAAATGTATCTTTGGGTTAATATTTTGGTACACTAGTAAATCAATATTATCATTGTAAATGTTTAATATGTAAATAAAATGTAAATTGTAAATGTTGTACATGATAGTGCCAACAAAGTTGCTTTTGGTTGCAAATAAGATGCAATAGGATCCCTACACTTGCATTTTTTTAATTTGTCTATTGAATTGACTAGAAAAATATCCCTATGGCAAAAATTTTGTCAAGCACTTGGTAAAGAAATGCAGCTTAGCAGGAATTTTTTTAACTTGTTTTTATGTATAATTAATGCAAGATATATGGGCTTAAATGATTAAAAAAAATATCCAAACCTTACTAGGAATATCCACATCATTTATATACAAATTATAATACAATTTCGTGATTTTACTCAAGTAAAAATCCACTACCGTGCCCCACACACCGTAACTTCACAGTAACAACCAATCCTCAGGAACCAACGGTAACAAGAGGCCACAGGGCGAGGGGGTGGGGATCCTGGGGCCGCCGCCCCCTTACCGGTAACCTAAAGTTTAAAACCTTTCCACGAAATCTCTAGAAATTATCAACACAAGTGGAACATATGGTAATGTATCATTTTTAACAAAATAAACCGTTTTGGGAAGCCGCTGGCACCGTAAATGTGGTAATTCTAGTTAGTTTAGGGTACTGGGTACCCTTGGGAGGGTATGAGGGCAGCGGCGTGCCCCAGGGAGGCCAGAAGGGGCGGCACGCACCCAACATGGCGTCGCTGCACGCGCGGGGGGGACACGCATTTCCTCGCCCTCTACACCACTTCCTCCTCCCTCACCAGCCGCAGGCGGCACCACGCGACCCTCAGGGGCCTGCCGCAGCCGCCAGGCCTCACCCACTCACCTGGTGTTGTGGTCAGACGGTGTGTAGCGTGTGTGTGAGGGCGGGAGAGGTGGAGGAGCGGGCCGCCATCACCCGAGAGACGCTCAGACTGGCGCCACTTGCCTCCTCCATCGATCACCAGCGCCGGCTGCTTGGTTCCCTCTACCATTCTTCTATTTTCATACTTCATCTTTCCTTAAAATACAACTGTTTTGCATTTGCTTAACAAATCTGATTTATTTCGTTTCATTATTCTTGAGTGAATAAATTTCATCAAATAGATTGGTTGCACTCAATTTATACATGAAGTATTTTTATTTCAGAAGTATATGCATAATAGCGAATCGATTATTTGTCTTCGTCATATTGTTTATTTCAGAGTATTTTTTTATTAATATCGCTTCTCTATGCTGTGTAATTACAATGATGACTTGCAATGTTCAGAGCTTAGAGTATAAAGCTACTAGAGGAACAGCGGAAGCATCATGCTGACGCCAATATAAACACGTCTGGGTGTAGGCACACCAACAGCCAGATACATATAATTAATATTTTTAATTATTAATTAAATGTATTATAATTATAAAATATTTATAATTTTTTCTAGCCGGAAAGTAGACTGGGTACTTCCAAGCATGCGCCCTACTCCACAACACGCATATTCAAATTCATAACAAAATCCTTAACAAAAAGCACTTTTCGTAACAAATACTGCCCTAAAGTTTCTTTGGGTAATACATTACCTGTGGTAACCCTGACGGCTGCAGGCAGCACTTTGCGTCGGCCCGGGCAAGAGACATATAGTGCCTACAGGGAAGTCTCAAGTGGCCTAGACAAACACGCACACGAAACTCCACCTACGTTGTTTTAGATTTAGCCACTCAACAAGATCACTTAACAACATTTGACAGTAAGTGAAACCGTTTACCGTCTTGCCAATATATATTCTTCACCTCGCCATCTTGGGTCAGGTGGATTGAACATAAGAACAAAGGTAACTGCAGAAGGCATATTGGCCCATACGAGGCAGCTCCTATTTATAACCACCCAAATTTTTGCTTGTGCCTTAACTTTTACAGGCTATTCATGCCCGTGCCACCTCTTGGGTGGCTTAATCTTTATCAATCAATTGTGCCTTACCCCAATACTTTACGCAACTCTTACAATGAATGCCGACTTTTCCTGGTGGGAAAGAGGATTACCGGATTGATAATTGGTTCCACAAATCAACAACCGTTACTGAACCAGTATTTACCCAGGTCTTTCCTAAATCTAAACTTATCCAATTTATACCCATTGTTTCGTGTTCAGTTATGTTTTGAGTTGGACTGGGGGACCTCTCTAACCTCTGACATATATTCTTTCTTCGTTAGATAACACAGCTGGTGCCCCAGTATGGGTCGCAGCACCGTCTGAGGAGTCTGTTTTAAAAATTGCATTAGATTAGTCTGTTGGAGACTAATTTAACCTCGACGAAGCTTAATTTACATTATCTAGAAAGTCGAAGAACTCAGGGTGACATGATGGAGGTGTACAAGTGGATGACTGGGCATAACAGAGGGAATATTAATAGGGTATTAAGAGTACAAGACAGAACACGAAACAGTGGGTATAAATTGGATAAGTTTAGATTTAGGAAAGACTTGGGTCTTCTGGTTTACTGGTTCGGTAACAGGGTTGTTGATTTAAGAACATAAGAATAAGATAACTGCAGAAGGCCTATTGGCCCATACGAGGCAGCTCCTATTTATAACCACCCAATCCCACTCATATACATGTCCAACCCATGCTTGAAACAATCGAGGGACCCTACCTCCATGTTATGCGGTAATTGGTTCCACAAATCAACAACTCTGTTACCGAACCAGTATTTACCCAGGTCTTTCCTAAATCTAAACTTATCCAATTTATACCCATTGTTTCGTGTTCTGTCTTGTGTTGATACTTTTAATACCCTATTAATATCCCTTTGTTATGTCCATTCATCCACTTGTAAACCTCTATCATGTCACCCCTAACTCTTCGCCTTTTCAGTGAATGCAACTTTAGTTTTGTTAATCTTTCTTCATATGAAAGATTTCTAATTAGGGGAATTAACTTTTGTCATCCTACGCTGGACACGTTCAAGTGAATTTATATCCATTCTATAGTACGACGACCAAAACTGAACTGCATAATCTAAATGGGGCCATTTAGATTACAAACTTAACATTTATCAGCATTAAACTGCATCTGCCAACCCTTTGACCATTTCAAAACCTTATTTAGATCAACTTGAAGTGATAGTGAATCTTCTTCCGTATTGATTGGCCTGAAAAACATTGTTCATAGAAATGTTACCCCCTACTGACACCAGTCAGACGAGGACATTAATAATTTTACTTTTTCTTATTTTCTTTTACTTATTTTTTTACTTATTTTTTTAAAATGTGGTTTTCACCTTACCTGATATGTTAGATTATGGAGTTTCCCGAAACGCTATGCGTGTTAATGACTGCAGTAATATAAAAATGTCACTCTAATGTAATCTCACCAACCCAGTGTACCTTCTTGTAAATAAAATATTATTATTATTAATAATAAACTCTCATACCAGGAACGGTTGAGGGCCACCGGGCAAACAACTCAGCAAACCAGACATGACAGGGCTGATCTCATCAAAACTTTTAAAATACTGAATAATTCGGAGGATATTGATCCAGACTACTTCTTCAAAGGGTCAGATGTAAGACAAACAAGGAGCAACAGATTTTTTTGTTTGCAGTGATATTCCTGCGCGGGCCCACTAAGTGTTGCTTGTTTCTGTTTTACTTGGGCGGAGTATGAGTATTTATGACTCATATGGTCGCTTCAGTAAGATTTTGCCCCATTTGTTTAACAACTTCTGCTCTGTTGAATCTGAGTTGAAATCTTATTGGGGTTGTAACTGCCAGGGAAGTGTTAGTGGCATCAGGTAAATTCAGGTAAGAAAAAGAAGATTGCCAACTTCCACATGAAAAACTCTCCTGACATCAAACAAAGCACCTTAAAAGAGACGAATGTCGTCTATGTCTTCACATGCCCACTTGGGGACTGTCAGTCACCATGTAATGTATCAATTATACAATGTATGTATGTCATGTAACTATATAACCTTAGCTTGTAAAAGCATCTTAATCACCTTCAGTGGTTAAGTTCTTAATTGCACATTAGTTTCTCTATCAGCTATCTCACCCTGTCAGAGTAAAAGAGACAAATATATGTGTGTGTACATATGTATGTATGTGTGTAAATCACGAAAAATATACACGTGATTAAAAATGTGACTGTATATTGACATGTACATGTGACAAACTTCCTCTGGTTTGACATTGTCATGTATGTATATGTATGTGTATAAAGTATATGTGGAAGCTGATCAGAATTACATTTCACCTTTGTAAATGCACATTAATGACACTATGTAAAAGACACATCAAACACTTTATGTAACATACATAAATCTGTGTATCTATGTATATACGTATGTAGCTTAGCCTAACATTTTAAAAGCACTACAATCACCTTCTGTGGTTGATTGTTCAATAAATCCCTGAACTGTATGTTTGACAAACCTCTCACCCTGTCCATGGAGGACAGAAGAAAATGTATATATGCTAGTTAGCATTGTAAATGTGTGGCCACGTCTGTGGTAGAAAATAATAATAAAAAAAAGTCCCCAGCGATCTCAATATAGGCAAGACAACATCCCTTTTAAGGTGCCTAACACTATACAAAAGTTAGGGGGGTAGAAATAGCCTAAGCTACTCTATCCCTTTGGGATGTATTTTTTTTTTCTTGTCTCAATAAACTTACTTGAACTTGAACTATACAAAAACAATTAAAGTTTTACGAAGGAACATATAATCTCTATACATAACCAGATCACCAGAGATTTTAAAAGCATATATTACTTGAAAATTAAACTATTAATATGTACTGAAGAACCACAGCTCATATAGGCTCAGTAATCTGCGCCCATCTTGTGATATCATGTTGCAAGAAATTCCCAGGAAACCTGTAACTCATGAGTAAACTAAATATTAATCCTTTTTCATTGTCATTATCAATGTTTCATTGCTTGTAGGACAATGCAAGATAGTATTGGGTATATAAACTAACATAAAGAAGGAAACAGTGATGCGAAGTGTGAAATTAACTTACTACTCACAATTAAACTCCAGTCGTCAATAGAAAGCATCGTGTTATATTGCAATATGGAAGTTGTAGTTAAGGACCTGGTGACTCTAGTGGGAGCCCTGAGGACAGAGTTGGACTTTCTGCGGGAGGAGGTGCGTCAGCTGAAAGAACAACGAGAAGTAACGAAGGAGGAGACCAGCAGTAAAGGGACCTCGTCTTGGAGAGTTGTGAAAGACAGGGGCCTTAAGAAGACTTTGATAAAGCCGCCTTCAAACGCCATAGCAACTTCTAATTCATTTGACGTTTTGGAGGACGAGTGCTGTGGAGAGACTGTGGATCGCGCAAAAGGGAAAGCAACGAAGAGAAAGGAAGCGCAGGCCCCTCAGAAAGTAAAGGAAGTACCTAAGCAAACATTAGTTGTGGGAGATTCCCAGATAAGGTATTTGGATAGAACGTTTTGTGCTAGAGATAGGGGGAACAGGTTAAGGGTTTGCTATCCCGGAGCTGGCATTGGTGATATTATAAACAACATGAATGATATTATGGCTGGTAATGGGAACAATCCCATTATTTGCATTAGCGTGGGAGGAAATGATGTTGGTCGAGTTAGGAGTGAGGAACTGATTCAGAGGTATAAAACAGCCATAGAGTTAGTTAGGAGCAAGGGAGGAATCCCGATCATATGTGGCATTCTTCCAAGAAAGGGAGTGGGAAATGAATGGATATCGAGGGCACTTGGTGTCAATTGCCGGCTGGAAAGATATTGCAAATCAAATGCAATATCTTTCATAGACAACTGGGAACACTTCTATGGAAGAAATGAAATGTATACTCGTGATGGGGTGCATCTATCGAGAGCTGGGGTTGTTGCTGTTGCGAACTCGTTAGAAGAAGTGGTTAGAGGTGTTTGTTTGGGTTTAAACTGTTAGTAGATAGAGGTATGGGAATTGATTTGGAGGAAGGAGGTAATAAAAGTATGTGTTTGTGGGAGAAAGGAATTGGCAAAACGATCAGGG